TTCTTCATTCATTTGTTCCCCATTTCCACCATTGATAAGCTGCTGAATACTGCCTGCTAGTTGACTACCGCCCCCAAGACTTCTTGCTCTCAGTCTGTTGTCCCACTTCTTCCTCATTCCTCCTTCTTCCTGACTTCCCCTTCATTCTCCTCTTTCTTCTTATTTCCTTTCCCTCTCATTGATTCACCGCTATTCTGGCAGCTTTCATTTCTCACCACTGCCCTAGTGTGTGGCACCCGCCTCTCACTGCTGACTCATCATTTGCTTTCGGAAGAGAGGGGGGGGGGGGGGGGGTGAAAAACTCAACCTAGATGAGCTGTCTTCCCTTTTTTTTTTGTGATAACCTCGCCTGATGGGAAAAGACCGCTTGGCTAACCTCAAAATGAGCTCCGGGAGTACATTTCTCTGGCCATTCACCGTTTGAGAGTGGGTGTGTGATTGACAAAGATAAGTGTGTTCATGTTATTTTAAGACAATAGTACTTAACAAAAAACGCTTCCATGATGCAACAAAGCATCGTCATATTTACACCTTATGTGCAAAATAATAGCAAGCTGTACAAGTATTAGCTGCTTTGAACAGACATCTGATTTTCATATCAATGTGTTTTACTTCCACAACACAACAAAAGAAAACAACAACAAAAAACTGTTCTCTGGGTAGATGAAAATCAATAGAAATTGAAACAATCTGATTGGCTCGTGAAAGTAACTGACAGCAGATGTTGCTCCTTGATCGCAATGTGAACAAATGTAAATGCTTTTTGGCCGTCACATGCTCGCTAATTAGCTGCAGAGTGGAGAGTCTGCTTCATTCTTTACTCGTTCATAAACACAGGCCCGTGGCAATCAGTGAGCTAGTTGTTGTTACTTTGGATTTTAGAGGGGGAGCATTACTCACTCAGACAGATATGAGACTGATAACGAGCAGTGCCACGCAAAACAGGCTTTTGTAATTAATGGCACTCGGGTGCCTCGTAAGCTTTGTGCTTAGCATTCAGATCCATTCATGGCGTGCCAGCCTTGATCCATCTCTCTAATGGCCGGCCCAAGGAGGACAACTGTCAGTGGATAAGGAGGACACATGCTACGAGAGGAAGCAGCCCACACTGAGCTGCAGTTCTGTGTGTTGGGGGGTTCATAGTGAATTATGAAGCGCTTTAATTGCACTATTTTTAAGTGCTTTACTTTGAGAAAAAGACAGTAGAATCAAAAACAACAAGCACAATATTTTTAGTCAGAGTGTTGGTTTGAGATTCGATTACATTTTCTTTTTGTTTCCTGTAGCAGGATCATTTTGCCCTGACATTTTTTCTTTTGATTAAAGCAATTGTACATTATGCATATTCACTGTCAAGCACAAAGGTCCTTCTCCAGCATACCTGTAGGAAGATGATTCTTAGCAGGCGTTCAGATCATAAACCGCTCCCTGCACACAGGGCTACATTGGATGTTGCTCTAGGTACCGGTGAAAAATGAAATACCATCCAGGAAATCCACTTTGAATATCAGATCCCTGAGGTAAAATGAACACTGTGCAGCAGTTTGTAATAGCCAGGGACAGGATTTTACCCCGAAGTTACTGACAAAGTTTCTAATGCAGCAAGTATCTTATCGTTTGTCACGATTGTGTGCTAAACTGAGGTAAAAATGACCATGGATGGAAAAGAATGTACTTTAAACCAAAACATGACACAAGAATGTGGACAAAGCATCTTGGACTCCAACCTCTCCATCATGCCGCATGCCAACCACATCACCAAAACGGCTTTATTCTAGCTTAAGAACATTGCAGAAACATCATACATGCCATACATGACAATCCTGTCACAACCCTGTCCTAGCCTCAGGTCCAGAGATGAAAACACCCTACACCCTACAGACTACCTCTGCTCCTGCACCCTCCCCACTCACATCAGACCGTCAACCACCCTAACTTCCTGCCAAAAAGCCCTCAAAATCTACATCTTCAGACTTGCCTTTCGTATGGAACTCCCACCCCCCACATCTTAACTGACTGCTTTCTGTCCTAGGGTTTCTTTGTATTTTCTCTAAATTAATTTAATTGCATCTTTTTTTTCACTAATGTAGGCCTTTGTTTGTTTATTGTACTGTATGCTTATACGGAATGTTTAGGTAAAGTGTCTGAGTATTTAGAAAATCACTATATAAATGAAATCTATTATTATTTTAGATGCAACATAAAACCTAAGGAAAAATATAATAACGTTGATTTGACTGGTGGATGCAGTGTGACAGCCATTGAATGGCCTGATTACATTTGAAATGGTTGCTCAAATATCAGGTTGACACAACAGGCCTTCTTGTACCAAGTAATGATCACTTTTCACAGAAGCAACCGAGTATCATTGCTTCATTGTGCCAATTAAAAACCCATTCAGAGGCCATACGTCTGATGAAATGCTTGTTTATTTGTTACTGATTGGCACAAGGACTGCCTTGTCATTCCTAAAAAGTGACATGTTTACTTTCGTCTTGTATTAATAATGTTTGGCAGAGATAGGGACAGGCATTGCTTGAACATTGCTGTCAGTATTGTAATCAAATCATTGTTATTTACACTGCATCTCTTTCGTTCTCTCTCAATTGCTCACTGATGACAGTGTGCAGCTTCGCCCCATTATTTGATGAGGCTAGTGTTTGTTATGATGATGGCACACCACCAGTAGCAGAGTTCACAGTAAAGGTGATTCATATAATAGTCAGGCAGAGACGGAGCATCCCTGGGGAGGGGTGTGTGTGTGTGTGTGTGTGTGTGTGTGTGCGTGTGTGTGTGTGTGTGTGTGTGTGTGTGTGTGGTGTGTGTGTGTGTGTGTGTGTGTGTGTGTGTGTGTGTGTGTGTGTGTGTGTGTGTGTGTGTGTGTGTGTGTGTGTGTGTGTGTGTGTGTGTGTGTGTGTGTGTGTGTGTGTGTGGGTGTGGGTGTGTGTGTGGGTGTGTGTGCACGCATTAGAACTCACTCATATTGATGGACCAACCAGATCGATCAGCTGAGTTGAGGTGCGAAACCAATCGCACCCTGGGGAGACGGGAGGGAGAAATCGAAATGGAGGACACGGCTAACTTCGACAGCGTCTGTCAAAACGTCAAGATCACTTTAAATAACAATAATCTTGTTTATGTCAAGTAGCCAATAAGTCTCCAAATAAAAAAACAAAAAGCAGAGACATCATTCACATCTAACCTTCAATCTTTTGTCTAGGCATGTCCTGTATTCAGTGAGTTGAATCTCAGGGCAACCTATTAGGAACAGTGAGATTTAGGTCTAAAGCACCATTTGTCTTCGGATGCTTTTCTGCTCCAGTGAGGGATTTATTGCCAGCAATCTAAACTCTTTTTACCTTGTTGAGCGGTAAAAAAATACTGACTTGAGGGATCAATTTACTCCTGCTGGAAGGGAGCCAGACAGAACTCAAGCTACCTATCCCAAAAGTGTTCTGTGTTGTAGTCTTTCTACAGTAAGTGCCTTCGCTAAGACCAGGCTGAACTCCAGATCGAATCATGTTTTCAAGCGTTTCCAAGAAGCCTGATTGAAATCGTCTCTGCTGGCAGCACTTCATCAAACTCAAAAGAGATGTTTGTGGGGCTAAGGATGGAGCTCTGATGTCGAATCGTTTACCAGATGCCCCTGGAACCAACCAATCGTTGAGATCAGACTGAAAAATAAGTATGCTTGACATGCAGTCCATCCAGGGTTTCAGCAGCCATGCAAACCCTCATTCGGACTGGCAGCCATAGAAACATGCACTTGGGATGAATGCTTTAAAATGAATCCAGACCAAAAACCATCATCAGTATACAATTGATGGGAGAATGGAGTTGCACACACATCCCCACACTCATGGCAAACATGCCAGCTTCCTGCTGTAATTGTTTCTCAGTCAGAGCAAGTGGGCTTGATATCTGATCTCTGAGGCAGGCGACAGGAACAGCAGAAGGTGTTGTTGTGTGAGCATCATACGTTGAAGTAGCACTCCTGAGAATGGTCTCATGCCATCATGTCTACTTCCTGTGCATCTTTACACCATTTAATCAGTTTACTACCGCAAAAAGGAGATTTGACTGATAACCCTGACCTTACATTTGTTGATAGAGAATGAAGAAGTCCTCTGTTTGAATGCGCATATCCTTTTTAAAACTACACTTAAGCATCTGATTCTTCGAAACTGGAAACAGCACAACCCCCACAATTAGTTTAGACTTTCTCTTTATTTCTTTACATCCATGTTTAATAACATAACATGTTATGTTTTAGGAGCCAGAGGTCAAGGCATTGGCCTATTCGGGATGTGTGTGCGTGGAGGGAAAGTCAATTCAAGTGTTCATTATATGTATTGTATTGTTGCTATTGTCATTGAAAAATCAATACAAATATCAATCAAAATAAAATCTGTAAGTACCTTTATAACAAATGGTGTTACTTCACATTGGGCATCAATGACTTTGCGCTGGTGTCAGATCTGCAGCCCTGCTCTTAAATTAATAAGTAGTCTCAGGCAGATGGAGAAGGAGAGGGAGAGAAAGAAAGAGAGGTGCTGTTCTGCCATATGTCTTCCCCGCTGCTGTGTTCACAAGCCTTAAATCAGGTGCTGCAGCGGCGAGTCCTTCCACGACCATCTGACAAGACTAATCTCGTGCTAATTACGGTGAAAGGAACTCTAATTAGCTGCGACACATAGGATTACACGGGAAATGAGGAGAAATGTTTGTTACCTGTGATCCTGTCACTGCGTCCCCCGCTGTCGTTGTGAATCTGATAAGCTCAAATGAGTAGCTTTCACCTCGGAGCTTGCCTTCCCAATATATCATCATTTTCTCCATATGTGTATTTGATCATTATTGAATGGCAGAGGCATTTTGAAATGGTACAAATAGAACTGTCATGAACCTTTGATGTGCACTGACTTTCAGCCTCTGTCATCTTTAAGTCTGATTAAGTTCATGTGTGACTGAATACTTTTTTCTTTCCTGTTTCTTTTCAGATCCAGACAAGAAATGGATTTTTCATACCTGTGGCGGTGTGGGCCCTGAAGGCCCAACTCCCTCTCAGTGCCTCAACTCCTATAGGTACAGCAACGTGACAGTCGGCACCCGTGGGCCCTTCAAAGGCATCCAAATGTGGCTTGTTCAGGAAACTGGCACCTACAGGTAGGGCTGCTGCCTGAGTATAAAGCTTACCACAATCTGTACAACAAATGTTCATGTATTACTGTGTACTGTTTTGAAGTGGCTTTGTATGATGTACTTATCCTAGTCAGTGTATTCCCACAGTAGATTGTTGGCGGTTATTTTTCTTGTGTTATTTTGTGACTTTTCTAAATCCTAACAAACCAAACTAACTAACTGAGTGATGCAGGGGTAGACCAGCAACTACCATGTGTTGGGAGGTAAAATGGCTGTCTTCATAAATGAGGCTGTTGGATTTATGGTTAAGCAAATGTTCTCTACTGCCTGTGCTGCAGCACCTCTTTTCCCCCTCTGTCTGAAACCAGAGCCTAGTCTGCTCTGATTGGTTAGCTGGCCAGCTCTTTTTTGATTGGTCAACCGCTTAGAGATGTCCCCGACCTTATCACATACAATGTGCCATCTACTGTAGGTAAAACACTGACTATGGAAGAGTAACTCATACAAAACCGCTCATGCTAACTACCCTCTTTTGGTTCTCAATGCATTGCCAGTCAATCTTTACGTACGTACACTCGGCTTCATGAGCACTCAACATACAAACCCTATAGAATACACACTTAACCTCTCTTTTTTTATCATCAGCACTGCGCATTCCAACTCCATTTTTCTCCACAATACAGACTCTTCCTCACGCCCACCTCCTCTCCTCTGTGCATCAGCAGCACATCAATCTTCCACAGGCATACAGAGAAATCTCACTATCAGATTCTTGGAGGAGGGAGCAGAGGCTGGAGTAATGGGAGCTAAATAGTATGATTCACTCCACATCTGACTCCCAAAAAATCCCCCAAAACCACCCGCCTCCAATGCTATGGTTATGGTGTTTGAGGCTTTGGAATACTACAACAATCAGTTAGCACCTTGACCTCATGCATTCTACTGCTCTAGGATTAATGCTGCGGTATCCACTACCTTGTGCAGGGATCAATATGTGTCCTGTGGGCATTCATGCGCGTTTAACTTGAATTTGACTTGGATGCCTCAAACACAAAAAAAGCGCATCAAAACTTCTAGCCTCCCACATCAACAGGCAGCACAACCACACACTGCTAAGCTCTGCCAAAAGCCTTAAAATACCCAACTAACAGCAGCGTGGACAGCTCTGTCTTAACAAATGTCCCAGAGTTTTAGAAAAACACCTTCTGTCTCCGCATAAACTCCAGAACTGTGTTCTTGATGCGGCCCGTAAATGGAGCCGACAGACGGTCACAGAGATGAATATGCGCTCTGCATCTCCCAAAAGTCATTAGGCAAACAGCTGAGGTAGCGACTGAGCACCGGGCAGCGTTCTCTCCCCCCAACAAGCACCACCATCGGGAAGAGAAATATACAACCGCTACCAATCAAGTTGTGTTTTGTTCTCCCTGGCAAGAAAACTGGAGAATTTGAAATGAGTGTCTTCTGCTGCGTGTGTGCTTGTATGTGTGTTTGTGTGCCCATGCAATCTGTAGTCTGTGCTATCTTTTGTATGTGTTGCCCAAGCGAGGTCAAAAACACCCCAGGTAAAAGTATTTTTTAGGGTTTCCAAATGAATTTTGGTTGTTATTTAATACACTCGCAGGTGGAATACATAAGAAGTGTTTTCCAGCCTCAGGTTATTTCTGATAAACAGCTAGTGCCCAGCTTGGAAAATACAATAAATACTTCACCTTAAAATCCTATGAATCCAAAACAATAGACAAAACCAAATGAAAGTAATCAACCATCCTTTTATTCACTGTATCATCAGGATCAGGATCATGCTAATGACCAGTGTTATGTGTGTGTTTGTGGTTCTGTGTGTCTTCTGTTTCCAACACAGGATTACAGCCTACGGTGCGGCTGGCGGTCGCAGCGTGTTGGCCATGAGCAGGTCACATGGTGTCTACATCACAGGAGACTTCCTGCTGCGGAGGGGCGAGCTGCTTCACATCCTGGTGGGACAGAAAGGAGAGGACGCATGCCCCAATGTGAGTCTACCATCACGCAGTAAATATGATCTATGGTAGCAAATGAGAGCTGCAATTTAGAGTATGTCAAGATAAACATTATGGGGGAATTAAAATACAGATTCAATATATGGGGGTAATTTTAAATGGCTATAAGCGATACACTGATTATAAATCGTAAATTAGGAGGCAAACTAATTCTATTTTATACAATGATAGATGGCTATTATCATTATCTTTTTCCAGGAAATTTAGAAGGATTAAAGTTGTTCAAGCTGAATGATATCACTGCGTCCACACTGTATGACTTGATAGCAGTGGAAGCATACAGCAGTGGACATACTGTAGCCGCTGTGATAACGGCTATAAAATGTGGATTACAGTCGTGAAGCCTCGAGTTACAGCCTTCGCGCTGTCCTTTCTTTTGGGAAAAATAATTTCAATGGGAGGAAAAATAAGAACAACTGAACAGTACACAGTACATTTGTAGGCATTGTTACATTAAACGTTAACAAACTGAAAACATTGTAAAAGCATTCAAACGCAGGAAAATAAGGTAGCCCTGAAGCATTCCCTACTTACTTGTCTGTTTTACTCTCATTAGGAACATCAGGCTGATTTTAAGATGACTTCAGACTATTGATTAAGAGCAAAAACTCATTAGTACACGTTTTAAAGAAGTAATAGCCTGAATTAAGTGTGAAGTAGTATCTCTTTCATATCTAGTTGCAACCTGTTGTTGTGCCCTGCTTGCCATTTAGAAAATAATTCAAATTTAAAGTACTTTGCATCAGCTTCCCTTTTTAGGCATCGCCACTTAGAGACATTCTTTGACATTGTTTAACTTTCGGACCATCTATAATTACATTTAATCATCCCTTTGTGTTTTTGGAAAGTAAAATCGATTTAAAATGTGTTATTTATAGTTTTGGATTATTAAAAGGAAAAATATGGTCTTTGGGGAAATGCTCTTTTCCTGTCAGCCAGCTGGAGAGGTGTGAGTAGTGCTGCCAGAAACAGGCATTGTTTTGTTAACAAAGAGTAGGGTCCATACCAGCGAACTGGACACTGACTTTTACATGCTGTTAATTGTGCTGCAGCTGAGCAGCTCATTAGCGTACTAGTCTGCAGTGCCGTATCCCTGGTGAATGTTTGTTTTGGGGCTTTTAGACAAGCTAATGTGCAGGAAACGTACTGTATGTGAGGGTTGTAAGTTACATAAGAATGAGGTTTTAGCAGAAAAGCTAATGTGGTTGTTGTGCAGAGTACGTAGCTCTGGTGTTGTGTATTAGGCTGGTGGTAGAATCTTTGTGTCCCTCTGATCTGCGTGTGATAGAACGCCGACCTTGATTGGCTGTGTTGAAATAAGTTCTCCCTCTACGAGACGAATACCAATCAGTACTCCGTCAAATGAATGCTAAACTAGGTGACGCATCATAAAAACTAAAAATTAAGTTTCCTCCTTTTGGTTTCTGATTTATTTCAGGAGAAAACATTAAGTGATTGACATAGCAGACACAAGCTGCAGTAGACCAAAGAAATATGTTGGAAATTAATAAAACTTTGACATTCTGAAATTCAAGGTAGCATCAAGTAATTCTCCTCATGTTCCCCGACCTCACCCTGGCCACCCGTGCTCTGAATCGTGAACCTTTTTGCCACCAACCACAATTGAAACCTGCGATGGAAGCCTGCACGGATCTCCCCACTGTCTCTCTTAAGCTTCCTTGTGTTGACTTGCCAGGGGTGGCTGTCATCCATTATGCTCTGGAGATTCTTCCCTGGCAGCAGCGCAGCATGCTTCCCCTCCCAGTTCCACACACTGAGAATAAAACCCTCACAATCCCTCTAGTCGCCAATGAAACCATCCATCGTCTGCTATTTAAACGTTTGAAAACGAAACCCTGTACCGCCACTGAAAATAAAGAGAAAGGGAGGTTAGTTGACAAAGTGTAGCATTTATTATTGCTGCTTTTAAGAGAAGGAAACATACATTGTTTGACATTGTTTGTTGTATAGAAAGCAGGGTGCAAAGGTAACTTTGTACGGTGGCCAACAGGTGCAAACACGTCTGTTAAGAGTAAGGATGTTGTCAATATATTTGAAATGACAAGGTTAGCTATGTTAGCTAGCTAGCTAGCTAGCTTAGAGGGCATCTGAAATAATATCAGAAGGAATCATGCAATCACATTGTTAAAATAAGCAATAAAAACGTACATTTTAGGTAAATAAGGCCCCCACATACTTCCCGTGCGGACACTCCACCGCCCACCATATAAGTCAGCTGAAGTGCCCAATGTCTTTCCTAACTTTACTTTCAGCCGGCAGAACGTGTAAACAGTACCTGCAGGGAGGGGTCTTCACCACTATCACCAAGTTATTAGTTTTTAACCAGGGTGCCTTGAAGTGCTCAGTGCAGACAGCAGAGAGAGACTGGCCTGTTCCAGAGTGAGCCTGAAGTCGTTTAATGTTCCTTTTCTTATTTGCCCCTCTTCTTCAGCAGCTCTCTCCAAAGGGTCGCTCCGAAGGTTATGTGTGCTGTAGTACAGAGTTTCTCACACCTAGCCTTTCCTCGGGTGAGGGAAATGATACCCCTATGTCCTCTCTGTGCATGTCTTTCTCCTTCTTCCGTTCACACATCCTTGTGTCGTTTTTTCCTCTCTTAGACACAACCTTAGAGTTAGAAGCTGCAATGACAGAGAGGGGGAATGACTTGAAAAAGGCTCCCCTCAGAATGCCTCAATGCACTCTTTACCTCCTCCACTGTCAATTAAAGTCGCTAAAGTCCCGCCCCCACCTCCCTCCCATCCTCTCAGAGTTTCGGTTCAGACAGATGAGGGGAGAGGAAACTCATGTCCCCTCACTCTCATAGGACTGGCTCCAGGCAGCTCAGCATAATTGCAATGCACACACAAGGCAGACACTCAATTCACAAAATCTCAGCAATGCAAAGTCCCTGCATCACTTGCCAAATAAATGTCATGTTCCATTTTTATAAAGGGACTTGATTTCTTGGAAGACATCAAACTAAATATCCGGCTTTATTAGTTAACATGAGTAATAAACTTGCCTTGCCTTGCCTAATCAATTTAAAATACACTGACGGTATAATCATTGTGGATTCTTTCAAACCATGCATTTGTTGAAGTTGTCCTTTGGAGCCTTTGAGTTTAAAAAGGACATTCTGCTCATTTTCAGGTTCATGTTTGTATTTTTTGCTTCTAATGTGACATATTTACTGAATTTAGTGTTCAAAAAGTGCTTTATTTTTTAAATGGCCCGCAATAGAAGTGCAAGTGTTACATAGTGATGTCATTTTGTTATGGAATTAAACAAAGGAGTCCAATGGTGTGGGAGTGTGGAAGAGGGAACTTTAAAATGTTTACCTTGCAGACCATGTACATGCACAAAGATCTATATAACACAAGAAAGGGAAACCCCTAAAAAGCACAATTTAAGTTTTTTGCCATGGCCATTTTGTTTATTTATAACCAAAATGGACTCTAGAAGGTGGAGCAAACCACAACAAAAGTCTTGTAATTAACGTTTATAAACTGAGACAAAAAAAAAGGATTGTTTTCATAAAGCTATTTAAAGGGTTTTTAGTGATTTTGGATTCATGGGACTTTTCATTAATTCTATATTTTTAACAATCCTTTAACTCTGCAAAATAACAAACTATTCAGTATATATGTTGAATGCATTTTGAATGCATTTTGAATGCATTTTGTCATTTTGATTCAAGATGTCAAATCTTTCATTGGGAAATATTTTCCGGAGTTGTCTTATTCAGTCAGTAATAGGTGGTTTTACAATAGACAGGAAATCAGTAAATAGCAGACTGAATTGTCATATAGAGGCAGCATTGGTCCTTGCCTCTCAGTTCCTGTGTGCATCTGGATATTTCTGCTTGGTGTTTGTTCACCATTATAATAATAAAGCCTTTGACTAAGCAGCAGCTGTGGCTTGGCAACTGCTCAAGTTTCTCACACACACAACTGACATGCATGGAGACAGCATGAAAGCAATTCTTATGTGAGCTGACATCTCTCTCTCTCTCTCTCTCGCTTTCTCTCTCTCTCTCTCGCTCTCTCTCTCGCACTCTCTCTCTCCTTGCCTACAGATCAACCCCATGCTGAATAAGATCTGCCAGGAACAGAGTGCCCCCATGTCCAACAAAACCCAAGTGAAAGGGGGTGGAGGAGGAGGGGGCGGGGCCACATATGTGTTCAAGGTAAGTAGGTTATGATGGGCAGGCAGATACTTTTAGACTTTATATTTTGAGAACTGCATCATTTGTGGAGATTTCGTTTGTCTCATAATAATGCATTACATATTCAAATGCAGGCATTGGGGATATTGACCTTGCTCTCTACCATTCAAGCTATTCATATCACTGAGATAGTAGTTATTGTCTTATTGTCACTACTTTATCCATGAACATGACTCACTGGAGTTATTTGGTGGTTGTAATCTCACATCAAACAGAGAAGCTGACCAACATCCCAATACATTTGTTCGAAAGGAAGTTACACTTTTTAAAATACCTGAATTTGCTTTCTTACACCATGGTAATGGAAAATAATTAAAAACGTATTTTCAAGAAACTTTCCTTTCCTATTCCTTTGATGTGCACACACTGAATGTAACTGTATTAATGTATACATGTATATAAATACCCAGGTGGTAAAAGACGTGTTCATCCCCCTCATCATCGCTGCTGGGGGAGGGGGCCGGGGCTACAGCAGCCTATCAGAGATGCAGCTGGAGCAGATGGACTATGACCCCAGCCAACCGGGACGCAACGGGAAGTCAAGTGCTGCAGGTTTGCTACACACAGCTTTGATGTGTGTGTGTGTGTGTGTGTGTGTGTGTGTGTGTGTGTGTGTGTGTGTGTGTGTGTGTGTGTGTGTGTGTGTGTGTGTGTGTGTGGTGTGTGTGTGTGTGTGTGTGTGTGTGTGTGTGTGTGTGTGTGTGTGTGTGTGTGTGTGTGTGTGTGTGTGTGTGTGTGTGTGTGTGTGTTCCCAAAGCAGTCAGAAGGAGTGAACTGCACACAATGGTCTCAATATTGGCCCTTTCTATGCAGAGAGCCTCTTTGCATGAATAGTCTAAATCACTTCTACAGTTATAGTGAAATGATGAGTGTCCATACAGGGTTCCTGGTAACTAACGGGACTTATAATTGGGGGGGTGCTCAAACTTATTCATTTTGTGATACAGAAAAAGGAGGCAACGATGGCTTTGTCATGGATAATGACTGAATAAAGCTCCTTTACATGTCCTTTTTTGAAAATGCATGAGAAAAAAAGGATTATTATATAAACTAATACAAACAAGTTCTCCTCTATCCCTCCTTTCTCAATTCTAACAATTTCCTTTTCCTCTCTACAATGCCTTTGGATGCACCCTGAGGCCCCCCGATCAGACCCCGGTAGCTCTGGATGACCCCTCACAACAAATCAGTCATACTCTGCCACATGGATAATGGCAATCGGATGCAAAAAAAGGCAAATTGCACTTTATGAGCACTGTAATACTATTAACACAATGTCTTTTGTGAATCAGATGGGGCAGATAGAGGGTGCAAATGATGCACAATTCACCTGTTAGTGCGTAGTTTGTCTACAGTTGTGTGTGTTTTAGTGAGAGAGCTTGGTCCAGGGAGAAGCATATAGTGAGTGTGTACGAGGTGAACAGATAACTAATACCCCATTACAGAACTGTTGTATTGTATTCAGCTCTGCATGGCCACAAACTAATAAGCCCAGTTTACAGATATCCCGAAGTGGAAGTGTTTATTTGTGTGTCTACCTGTAAACACAATCATTTATCCCAGAAGGCATTTACCTCTGCCTTAATTCATACGTTTCATATGCATTCCCACTCGCTGTGCCAGTGTTTGTGTTTTGGCTAAAACAAAACAAAGCTAGGGCCTGCTCATAATTATTCATATGGATCCCTGTGTATCCCGTCATTACCGGTCAGAACTACCAGTGTGATGCTACATCCATGCCGGCTGCATTATTCATGTGGTCTGAGTTTAGAATGGCCCAGAAAACATTTCCTCAAAGCCCATGGTTTACTTTTGAAGGAACTGGTGAATGAAAAGTCAAATATTCAGCATTTCCGTGTGGTTTATTGCTAATGTGGTGAGATATTTGTTTTTGTTTCTATCTCTCAGACTTCAGAGAGGGAGGAAAATGAAAGGGGAACATTTACTTTTAACTTTATTAGCTATAACTTTAATCTCCTGTTACCAGGTTTCTTCAAAGGGATTTATGTTTCTGTGGTCTCTGCTCTAACCAGTGTTTAATAAGTTATTGCAGTGTGTGTGTGTGTGTGTGTGTGTGTGTGTGTGTGTGTGTGTGTGTGTGTGTGTGTGTGTGTGTGTGTGTGTGTGTGTGTGTGTGTGTGTGTGTGTGTGTGTGTGTGTGTGTGTTGTGTGTGTGTGTGTGTATCATCTTTCCAGAACATTTTCCCATTGAAGAGCTCTTTCTGTGTCTTTCTCTCTTTCTTCCTTTTCGAAATGAATTTTTGAATTTGTCTTGTGTGAACTCTGGACAAAGAATCAGTTCCACACATTGTCCAGATAGTCCTGGTCATAAGAGCTCTTACTTACTCTGCTGCTCTGCTTGTAATTTGCTCAAACAGCCAGTCTCTTGCCACTCTTTGATTTTGTCTGATGACATTTTTGACGTAAACATTTACAGACCAAGATTCCCTAAAGGGGCCCTATCATGCTTTTTGGGGTTTCCCCCTCCTGTAGTGGGTTACATAGGTTTGTGTGCATGTAAATGGTCTGCAAAGGCTAAAATCCCAAAGTTCCCTCCAGAGGGAGTTTCTAAAAATAAAGAGCTTTTTGAAAATGTAAGCATTTAGAATTAGAAATGGCGTCTTGTCGTCTCTCCAATTTGAAATGTTTTGTTCTTCCCCCTCAGGTTTTAGTTTTCTTCCGGTTTCCCACCAGCTGGAATAGAAACTCGCCCACAATCTGGCATTAAAAGCCTGATGCCATGCCATTGTTCCTGTAACCCAGAGAATACAAAATAAATTACAGACTGAACCGAAAGCCCATTTGTCAGACAGTCCATTAACAAAATCACAAACGCCCATTTCGCTGAAGGCCCATTGTTCCAAAAAAAAACAACTCTACTAAAAAGTGCATGTCTTATTATTCAGAATGAGGGCGAAGGCATGACCCGCCCCTCTCTGCCTCTGGTGATCCTGACATTTGCGTCCTCACACAGCGCTCCTCCGGGTAATGTGTAGATCATTGCAGAGTTGCTGTGCATATCTGAGTGGAGTCCTTGCTCCACAGCGTGTTACTCCACATCATGTGACAGGGTTGTTGTGTTTGTTGACAGGTGGAGGCGGAGGCTGGAACGACACTGCTCCTGTCAGTCAGGGGGGCAGACCTCTGGTGCTGGGTGGCCAGGGAGGGCAGGCCTGTCAAAAGTTCTGGCAGACTCGCGGTGGCTTCGGGGGCGGCGGCGGGGGGTGTATGTCCGGGGGCGCTGCCGGAGGATACAGAGGTTAGTGCAAGAGATCTGCAAGGTTTTTCTAGAACGTCCAGTGCTGGGAATTACACAGCACAAGGCATGAAAAGATACACAAATAAAAACATAACACAGAAGTAATGCAAATAATAAGCAAAATGCAAATACCTGTAAACGTTAGATTACACTGGGGTTTATCACACACTAGGTTCATATCTAAACATAATCTACCATGAGAATGTGGCGTACTAGCTGCAGAACACTCACATATCTTTTCTAAATGCCACCAAATATTAATGTTCTGGAAAAGTGTGCACACAATTCGGATAAAACAAACTATGATTTTATTTCTGTATCAGCCACCTTGTAATTTGTATGGATTTTTTTTATTTGAGACAGCAAAATGTAGAGAAACGGGAATAGATACAGTCAAAATGTTGTTGATGTCCATGATGAAAATCCCTACCAAGATGGATAGAGACAATAGAGAAAATCTACATAATGGGAAAACTGACATGTTTTCAGATTGCAAAAGCACAGAATATAAAAAAGCATGTTATTTATGAAATGGCACTGAAGTTTTGTCACTGTGCTCTCCATGATTCTAGGTGGTAACACCTCGCTGGATGACAACCCCAAACACGATGGTGACGATGGCACCTCCTTCCTCAGCCCAGAAGGAGAGCCCTTCCTCTACCCGCTGAAAGGTAATGTGACACACTAGTCATTTATATGCAGTGTTTGATAGCATTGTGCTTTTTGAGGTTTGAGGGTCTATGTGTTTGCACTTTGAGAAAAGCTGTCTTTGCTGTTGACATATTAACTCTTAAATGACCAATTACATTTATATATATGTATATATATTTGGAAAATACTACTTTCTACATTACACCTAAATTAACCCTCAGATGCATAAGTGGGTCGTTTTTGACCCGGTGAGGTGGTTTTCTCAGAGTATCTTTGTAATTACATTTTTCATCATTTCATATTCCAGATATTCCTCAAAAAACATGTTTCGGATATCATGCCATTCAAATTTTAAATTTAAATGTAATACATTTTAAGAAATTGTAGTTTTTGTATTACTACCCCAAGCTTCCATAAGTGGGTCAAAAATGACCCACTTGCATTTTCTATGACATTTTTTTTTTTTTCAAAATGTAAAATTATAAATAGTAAAACATTTAATATAAAATATTTCTAGTGTGAACCAAAATATAATATTACATATTATACAAGTGATTTTTCTTAACCAAAATGACAAAAATGGCACATATTATTCTAATACGGGTCCTTTTTGACCCACTTATGGAAGAGTGTAGGGTCCAGCCACTCGTGCATCTAAGGGTTAAACTGTATCAAACTCATATAACAACATTAATATGCCCCCATCACTCCATTATTACACCCATATTAAACCCATGTTACACATGGTCACAGCCTGTCAAATGACTGTTCTACGGTGGCCCTGAAGTGCAAAACACAACAGCATTTCAGAAAACGCCACAGCATTTCACAAAACACCACAGCATTTCACAAAACACAACAGCATTTCAGAAAACACAACAGCATTTCAGAAAACACCACAGCATTTCACAAAACACCGCAGCATTTCACAAAACACAACAGCATTTCAGAAAACACCACAGCATTTCACAAAACACAACAGCATTTCACAAAACACAACAGCATTTCAGAAAACACCACAGCATTTCACAAAACACAACAGCATTTCACAAAACACAACAGCATTTCACAAAACACCACAGCATTTCACAAAACACAACAGCATTTCACAAAACACAACAGCATTTCACAAAACACAACAGCATTTCACAAAACACAACAGCATTTCACAAAACACCACAGCATTTCACAAAACACAACAGCATTCACAAAACACAACAGCATTTCACAAAACACCACAGCATTTCACAAAACACAACAGCATTTCACAAAACGCCACAGCATTTCACAAAACACAACAGCATTTCACAAAACACAACAGCATTTCACAAAACACCACAGCATTTCACAAAACACAACAGCATTTCACAAAACACAACAGCATTTCACAAAACACAACAGCATTTCACAAAACACAACAGCATTTCACAAAACACAACAGCATTTCACAAAACACCACAGCATTTCACAAAACACAACAGCATTTCACAAAACACAACAGCATTTCACAAAACACAACAGCATTTCACAAAACACAACAGCATTTCACAAAACACAACAGCATTTCACAAAACACAACAGCATTTCACAAAACACCACAGCATTTCACAAAACACCGCAGCATTTCACAAAACACAACAGCATTTCAGAAAACACCACAGCATTTCACAAAACACAACAGCATTTCACAAAACACCACAGCATTTCACAAAACACCGCAGCATTTCACAAAACACAACAGCATTTCAGAAAACACCACAGCATTTCACAAAACACCACAGCATTTCAGAAAACACCACAGCATTTCAGAAAACACCACAGCATTTCAGAAAACACCACAGCATTTCACAAAACACAACAGCATTTCACATTGGACGGAAAGGGTATTTCTTAGGGAGAACACTTCTTGTTTGTGATTGGACAGAGCCAGCCATAGAAGCACTGCTGTGATTGGTTGTTTTTGCTGCCAGTCAAGAAATGACGCTTCGTCATTGGCCCAACACATCAGCCGTTAGCTGTTAGCACACACTCAGAGCTCACAGCTCCTCATATCTGTTCAGAAACTGGACAAAAGTTCAACATATACAAAACACAGACTGTCTATGTCATGGCGAATACAGTCGCTGCTTTATTTATGTCTGTATGACGTTGTTGTGAGTGTGGACGGAGCAGCTACAGGTTAGTTTAGCCTGATCGATCCGATTCCGATAGGATTTACATGGAGATACGGCCCGCCCCCTCTCCAGCGTCTTGTTTGAATGACAGGAGTAAACACAGAATTAATGCTTTATTAATTCATGGTTTTTAAGGGGCTTATCTCCATGTCAATACTATGGTAGACTACCCAATATTCGCATCGCTCTAATCGCTCGAGTTTCACCGCGGCTATCAGCTGTGTTTGCTCCTGTCATTCAAACAAGAGCAGTGGCGGCGCCAGAGATGTTCTCTAGGGGGTGCTGTGGGGTAGCTTGACGTTTCATAGAGGGTGCTCAAACATTAAGGTTTTTCCATTAATGCACCAGCGCTACAGTTGAATTTTCTAATGCAACACTCCCCACACGCACACACAGTGTACCTGCGACTGTTACAATGAAGGCTCGATAATCAGCTCACGGCATATAGGTGTAAGCAGGGGTAAAGTGCTATTTTTACAAGTAGGGGGTGGACCACACCTCCTCTAGTGGGGTCCGGGGGCATGCTCCCCCGGGAAGATTTTTTTAAATATTGAAGTTAAAAGCATCAATCTGGTGCACTTTGAGAGCAACATTAAGAGATCTATGGATACAACACCCATATGAAACAGAACTGTAAACATATTTTCTATTTCTTCATAGACATTTTACAAATCACACACCCTTTTAAAACTAATCGTTTGAGACCCACTGAGATAACTAGACTAAAGTTAACTATCTAAACACTGAGAGTCATTTATTTCACCTGAGCTGAGGTTATCTGAGACTCTTCGTCTGACAGGAGAGAGTTCTCCCTCCACCTTGTTGTTGAAAAAGCTCCTTATACCCGTTAGCTTGGCTAGCTAGCACCAGATGCTAACCACAACGATCTCCAGTAGATACCCACCGGTGCGCGAGGCGAGCTCTCTCTCGCTCGCGCACACACGCACACAAAATGGCTCGTGCCACACACACACACACACAGAGCAGAGCTTGAATGAAACACAGAGACCAGAGAAGCTACTTGTACTCACAACGCTAGGCTATTATGTGCAGAATCCCTCTCGCTTTCAGGTGGTTTTGATTGAGTGTCCACACGTGGACTTTTAAGGACTAAAAAACGATCCATCTTTCACATTGCTGTTAGCAAATCATTTGGCGCTCTAGCTAACAGGAAGTCACTCAAGTGTCACAAAGTAATTTAGCCTATGAGTAGGTCAAAAATCGAATGGGTGCTGGCCATTGGCCTAATCATATCACCTGTGTTGGCTTTATGTTTTTGGTAAAACATGTTTGTTTCACATTTGCATTGATGTAATCAATAATTTTTCTAATTTAATAATAATAATAATAATTTTTAAAACATACTTCTTGGGGGTGCTTAGGGGGTGCTTTGGCAATCCTGGGGGGTGCTTCAGCATCCCCTAGCTCCCCCCTGGCGCCGCCCCTGAACAAGAGGCGCTGAGAGGGGGCGGGGCGTATCTCCAAGTAAATCCTATGGGAGATACCAACTACAACAAAATGAACATATTTGACCGTGATTTAATTGTAATACACGTTTCAAAGAGATGCCGAAGTAACTACATACTGATAACGGTTAGTAAAAACCATGAATTAACGCTTTGACAAGTCTGCAGATAAGAAGGCAGGCGAAAAGCTTTTAAAATGCGTGTTTTCTGAATGGAATCGGATCCATCAGGCTAAACTAACCTGTAGCTGCTCCGTCCACACTCACAACAACGTCATACCGACATAAATAAAGCAGCGACTGTATTCGCCATGACATAGACAGTCTGTGTTTTGTATATGTTGAACTTTTGTCCAGTTTCTGAACAGATATGAGGAGCTGTGAGCTCTGAGTGTGTGCAAACGGCTGATGTGTTGGGACATATTTCGCTGTCGGGTGTTGACCAATCACGAAGCGTCATTTCTTGACTGGCAGCAAAAACAACCAATCACAGCAGTGCTTCTCTGGCTGGCTCTGTCCAATCACAAACAAGAAGTGTTCTCCCTAAAGGAATACCCTTTCCGTCCAATGTGAAATGCTGTGGTGTTTTTTGAAATGCTGTGGTGTTTTCTGAAATGCTGTGGTGTTTTCTGAAATGCTGTGGTGTTTTCTGAAATGCTGTAGCGTTTTGTGAAATGCTGTTGTGTTTTGTGAAATGCTGTGGTGTTTTCTGAAATGCTGTAGTGTTTTGTGAAATGCTGTTGTGTTTTGTGAAATGCTGTTGTGTTTTGTGAAATGCTGTTGTGTTTTGTGAAATGCTGTAGTGTCTTGCACTTCAGGGCCACCGTAGTTTCCCCCAGGATACAGCACTAGAAACACAGTGTGGAAAAATGATGACCCTTCATACGTCATTTTAAATAACCTTTTGCCTCAGCTATGTAAGAAAACAGGAAAAAAGGAGAAATGGAAAACTGAAGTGCCTTTTTTTAAATTGTCTTCCATTAGGGCAAAGTACGCACTGATTTCTCTCCCATTGAGCTTGAATAGGCTGATGCTATCTGGTGAGGCAGTGCTCCTCTCAACTGCCACAATCCTCATTTCGTCATTACACTCACTTTATTTCCTCTGGTGGAACAAGACTTAGGAGTGATTACCAGCTCTGTCAAAGTGGTATACTGGCTTTTAAACTTCACAGAATTGTATTCACATTCCACTGTGTGGAAACCCTGACTGGTGAACATGCTGAGATGTTCTAGTTTCTCTAGTTTCTGGTGTCATTTAAAGAAGGAAAATCGATTTCCTATTTTAGCTATTTAACCTAAAAAATGAATAAGAAGATCTTACTAAAAGGGGACATAGTATTCCATATTATGTTGGTGTTTTTATGTTAAAGATCCATCAT